TTTTTTGTGTACAACTATTAGGACATTTAATATAAGACAAAAGAAGCTATATTGGACATAGTAAATGCGCAGACCCCTTTTCCTCTTTTTCTTTTATTAGTTCATTAAACCTTCATGTATTCTTGCAAGTAGTTGTAATCCCCCTTCTACCCCCCCCCCCCCCGAGCTCCCTCCCCCTTCAGCTTTTGCTTCGAATGAATCCGTCCAAAGTAGAACAAATGCATTTAAATTATAACATTTTAAAATTCAGTTTATATACAAATAAAACAACACTTGTTAAAGACGTTTATAGTGCACACATAATAATAAATATAATGATATAATAAAAGAAACCAAAGGGTGGATTCCAGAATCTTGGAAATAAACTGGTTGTATTGCCTCCAATACATTTCCAGATTTTTATCATACATATGACAGATATTGAAGACTTCTAGCTAGTGATTACAATACTGTCTAACATCAATTTGTATTTTACAACTGAGTTTAATTTTGGGCAGAAGAAATTGCAAGAACCAACATTTCCCTTTCTGAACTTTTATTCTGGCATGTTAGAACAAAAGAAATAAACATGTATTAGGGAGGCAAAGGAAGGTATATATTATATCATATATGCCTATAATGTGTGGATGTAAACACTAAACTTGCTAATAAACTGTCAAAAAATTTCATGAATGGAATTGTCATTCAATATTACATCAAAAATCGTAATTATGAAAAGGAACTACATGTATATCCTTGAATTCGGGGGGAAATACGGAGCGGATGAGTTTGTAAAGGAAAAATGGGATTAACATTAATGAATATACCTTTTTCAAATTGTAATTTAAAAGAAACTAAAAATCCCTTTTAAAAATCACGTAAGACAAGTATCCTCTTAAAATAATTCATCAAGATATCCCAGTTTCACGTTTTAATTGTTGCAGAGTATGAAACATTGTATATATGAAGAGGACTCTCTTTCTCTCTCTCTCCTATCTACTTAAATAGCTCTTAACTCGTAACTACTGAGTGAATCATACATACATTTAATTATCTTTATATTCTTTGACGTGTTTCACAGCTTTAACTCCATGTTTTACATATGTCTTACAGTTGGTGTGTCTGTCTGTGTCTGGTGGTGCTGTTTTCGCTCTCTAACGCCCAGAACCTGGGAAGGGAGACTTGCGATGCCCGGAGATCTGAGGTGGATGTAGAGGTCGCTTCAGCTGGAGCCCTGATAGGTGGCATATTTAAGATAAGGGACACCTTAACTGGTGGATACACGTGTGGGACTCCACATAAAGGTATGTGGATGTAGTAGTCCGTAAGCTTAAGTAACTATACATCCCAACAGTTGAGATGGCACATTTTTGGACCAGGTTACAGTGCTTGCAAGTTTACCCAGGGTAACACAAAAATTTTGAAATTACTAGGGGGGGGGTTATATGCAAAATTTACAACGTAATAAGTTATAACTCCATCTGGTAAATTCAAAATTTACAACTTGATACAGGGGTTGGGGATTGGATGGGTTGGGTGATACTAAAATCTTATTATGTACTACACTGTACAACTAGGATTCCCAAAAGGAAAGCAGTTCGAGTAATATAAATTTTAAAATTCATAAATTTTTCCTTTAAATAATATGATTAAATGAAATAAATGAAATTTGCATTCATCACTCTGAGCATTGTCTTATTATAAAACATGTTCTACGAAATAGTTTTGTATCAATGACGTACTAATTAAAAATTTGTCCCATTCTTACCTTCAGAACTGATACAAGTGTACGAAGCAGCGAGATTTGCAATCCAGCGTATTAATGCACAAAATATTGTCCCGGGAATCAGGCTTGGTGAGTATTGTTTTGAAATTATTTTAATATTATAACCAAGAAATATTGCTTTAAAATTTAAATGTGTTTATTTTGAATTGCAGGAATGAAGGCCTATGATGATTGCGGAAGTCCATTTATGGCCGTCCGAGCCGCACAGAAATTTTATCCGCAGTTCTCCAACACACAGCTGTCTTGTAGTGATGGATCCAAGCTTCATCTAGGTAATTAATCCTTTTAAAAAGTAACTTTAACAAAATAGTCTTTTGAGTAAGCAAACGAACAGAAGATTTACCTCAATGATATAATTTTATTTGTCTGGCGACTGTTTCACTAACAAATCGCAAATCGTAAACGTACGATAACGTTTACGTTTGCTAGAGGTGCACGTAAACGAGCGTTTCACAAAACATATCGCAAACGTAGCACTTACGACTGGCGAGTTACGACCAACTTGTTGGAACTCTTCTAACAAAGGAGGTGTATTTGCATTTGTTTGAGAAAGACAAAAGAGGAGAGATAAAGAAAGAAAGAAATCTATATCATTACGAAATAAAAATAAATATCTTTCATTATTTGTCTTAGTCTTCAAAAAGAGAGAGAGAGAGAGAGAGAGAGAGAGAGAGATAATGGAAATTAGATCAATAAAATGAAAAAATATAATTTTATATACCTATTCTATGCATAAAATTTGATTAAAGTTCCTTTTTTATATCTAAAATCAAATCATACGTATCAAATATACTCCACAATGGTGTATAATGTTTTATTTTACTTAACATGCTTAACTCTAAAAGGGACACAGGGGACTGACAACGTTTACAGCTAAGGAACAAATTGGCAAAAATGAAACATACTGAACGAATAACACACCCCAAAGCCAGGGTGAAATAAACTTACAGCTTAATTTAATGCATACTGTAAAAGACATAAAATAACACTCTGAACGAGTGTCAACAGTATTTAAACAGGTTACTATTCCCCTCAAGAAAACATGGGGGAAGATTGGAGTTATTTTACTCCCTGCTAAAAATGATGACAAACTCGTGGTGAAACAAAACATATTAAAAAAGTTTTCCCCGACTGTATCTACGTATTGACGTTTTCGTTTTATGTTTCTGTTAGAAATTAGAATTATTGGTGCATGTTATACAATTCGGCATGTTTATTATTTAAATATTGCCAAAACTCGCACGCATGTTTTAAAAAGTATTTTTAGATCAGTATAAATAAGTAAGCAATATTAAGATGTTAGCAAACTATCCATTGCAATATCTCGTTCAAATCTTAAACATCGGGAAAATATTAATACAGGAAAAATATTTTACTGTTACAATTTGCAAGTTAATCTTATAAAACAAATTTATTCAATCTAAATCTCTAAATTGATTCAAATTGTCTTTAACAAACGCTGATTCAATAAGCGACAAAACTCTCCTTGTATACCTTGTATAGTGGTTTGTATATATTGAAGCTGAGCCCGCAGCAATGGTTTAAAAAAAAAGGGGGGGGGGGAGTTCCAAAATTTTTACTGAGAAGCAAAATGAAAACAAACAAAATTTAATTTACCCCCCCCCCCCCCCCACACACACACACACAAAAGTAGGGGGTAACTTCCAAGAGTAATCTGACAAGTAAAGGAAAATTATAAAATGTCCAAATCCTAGAATTGCCGGTGCCCGACCTTACAGCAACAAAAAGTAGAGAGGGAGAAGGATCTGAACAACATAGCATATCTGAAAAAAGATCTACTACATGTATGTAGCAAAATCTATGCCAAAAAAGTGGACACCCTCCGTGTTCTACGTGCCTCTGTTTACATTTACATGTATGTATATATGTATACTAGTTTTCATAAGTTAGAAAGGTTAGTTTGATTTTATTTTGACTGACCCAGTATGTAAGTAACTAAATTTTCATTTTAAAGAAATTCGGTTATGTTCACAAATTCACGTGTTTACGTATACTTTGTGCATTTTCCAGTAATTAATTTATTCAGAAAAGAAAAATAAAAATCAGTTAGGAATAGAGTTATAATTCTTTGTTTAATTTTATTTCTGTGTCACTATTCATTTTTATAAAGGGGGTGTGGAGAATGTGCGTCTATCTTGTAAGCGATCAAAACGCATTCTATTTTATTTTAAACTGTATTTTTATTGCTTGATTTTTATGATCGAGAGCAGAATATATTGAGCTTTAAAATTGAAAATTGAAAGTATTTCTTATATAATTGTCAAATTGATTTATTTGTATTGTATCTTTTTTTTGTTGTGATTTAAGATCGGACTCGGTCTACACAAAATACTATTGTTGTTGGAAAAGCAGACAGAAATGCAATCTCCAATGCAGAGTTGTCGTTCGTTCCAGCCGATGGTAGAGAGTGACAGAAATGTAAGAAAGTGAGAAATTACTTAGTTTCTTGCTTATATTGTCGTTTTTTATTTCTTTTTTCATGAAATTACTTGCACGTAAGTATTTTAAGAGTGCCCCTGACTGCTCGTAGAGTTACGATCAAGTTTAATCGTAACTCGCAAATCGTAACTCTTAGTGAAACGCACTTACGTGCTGCGTTCAAGTTTATGTCTACGTTTACGAGCTACGATCTGTTAGTGAAACGGTCGCCTGGTTACAACAACTCAAAGATACTTTCTAGTTTCTAAATAGGAAAGGGCATACGTGCTTAAGGAAGGACCCCCTCCAGCCCCAGTGATGTTTTTTTTGTTTAACAAATTAGTACTTCAGCACACATTTACAAAGTGTTTAACCTCCTCTTTCAGAACAATTTTGAATAACGTATGAAAGGAAAATTTTTAGACTGCACACAAGTTAATTCTACTACAATTTTATTTTTGAATTGAACATATTCTAAATGTGTCCTAGAAGAATGGAAGAATGATTAAGTTATTATTTTGAATAACAAATTAAATAAATTTGCTCTGAAATACCCGGTACTTGTCACATATTTTTGTGTTCTTTGCAAAGGGATGAAAGAGATGTTCTTTTAAAAAAACAATAAACAATGCAGGTTCTTGGAAAATTTTGCAAAGAATAAAAAATTACATAACCCCTTTGCGATCTGTAATAAAAAGTCGTCAGAATTTAGTAAATATGCAACGAATTTATTATAATTAAAGTTTTATTTACTTATTTTTAGGAATCTTAGGTCCCCTAAACAGCAATATAGAATCTGTAGCGAAAATGACGTCAGAAATACCAGCATCCCAGATTTCACCAAGAATCATTCATCCGGATCTGAGTGATAAATCCGAGTATCCATACTTCCTGAGAACTGGACGCAACTGGTTTTCATTGGCCAGGGTAAATAAAAACATTTCAATAGATTAAACAAAATTTACTTAAATATATAAACATAAATCAACTCCCTCTTCCACTCCGTTTTCCTAGGTGCTGACACAAGTCTTGAAGCAAATGAACTGGACACGTGTCACAGTTGTCAACGTCAACACCGATATGGGAGAACTAGGATATAAAGAATTTTCGCGAGAGGCTCTAAAGGAAGACATCTGTATAGCTGGCGTAAAGACCGTCTCTATTGTCGCCACACAAGCCGACTACGAGAACGAACTCAGTGACCTTGGCAACGACGGGGTCAATGTCGCCGTATTTTTGGGACCAGGGGCTCATGCCATCAAAATACTGAAGTCAAACATCGGGAAACGCGTCCAGTGGGTTATGGCAGATATGCTTAGAATGGTCTCTCCGGATCCACTGAGTACGCATGCTCCCAACAGCAAAGGTGTAATTTTTGCCCTACCAAAAGTTCGCCAAATCACAGAATTTGAAAATTACTTTGTTACCTTGTCAGAGACGAGTCCTCCTGCAGACAACCCGTGGTTTCAAGACTGGTACATGACACTATACGACTGTAGGCTTTCTGGTATGTAGAAAGTTTTATTCTTTTCAGTACAACAAGAACAAATGTTAGAAATAAAACGGTCTCCAGGTGTTAAATCATTAATGCAACATTGGTTTTATGCCTCTGTAATCAAAGACTTGGGTACCAACATACCGGTATTTGACTTCTTGACCTTGATTTTGGAGTGTAACTAAAATATCTAATTTTGAACTTTTTAAAATAAATTATGAACAGTTGGTGCTAGAGTGTTTTCCTTTTTACAAGACCATTCCTTGGAATTAAATATTTTGACCCTTAAGTCTCGACCTTCGAGTTTGATTCTTTTAAAAAATTCTTACCTTGGTCCTAACTTTAAACAGATTGAGCTAAGGCTTTCTTTTTCACTTGCGTTTTTCTTGTGAGTTATATCCCCTTGGTTATCAAGAATTCTCACCCTTTGAGCTTGGAGTTATTAAAAAACTGGAACCTTGGCCATAACATTTGAATGCTTTGTGCAATGGATTCCATATTTCACATGTTTATTTTTATGACAAGTCCTCCCATTGGTTCCCTTAATTTCTACCATTATCCTTTATCTTGACATGTGACTTGCTTTTGAAAAAAAAAAACTTTTACTGAATACCTTTCGCCATAACTTTGCAACGGTTGGTCACAGGGTTTTCATATTTCACAGGCATATTCTTTGTAGCAAGTACTTTCAAGTTTGACCTAATTAAACCTTTGTCATAAGCTGCCATATGGAGACATAAATGTTCCAAAAAACACATTTTATTTTTTAGGTATTAACTATGCCCCATTTGCTACAAAACCTTTCTGCCCTGGAACTGTCACAAAGAGATCCATATACAAACAGTTACCTTACGTGCAGTCTGCAATAGAGGGAGTTTATGCCTTCGCCAAAGCATTAAGACAAGCCCAGAGGTCTCGCTGTGGGGACGGCTTTAATGGTGTCTGTGACGGTCTGAGAGCGATGTCGACTGCAGATTTCCACAACGATCTAAAGAGCATAGACTTCACTGTAAGTTCAAACAATTTTTATATTATCTTTGAAGGACTGGTCCGGAATTTCACTATGAAGAAAAGATGGTCTTATTATAAAAATTAGAGTACACGATTTATAAATTTAATTGATAAAACCATCACAATTGCATTGAACACCTCATATAAACAATTTATAGTGATTAAATTTTCTGACTGTTATAGTTCTCAAGCACTGATGGCATACCAAGTTTGGTAGGAAAGAGGGTCAAGTTTGATGCAAATGGTGACATTATGGATCAAGATTTCACGGTCTATAACTACAACGATAGAACTACAGCTCCTAATTTTGCCTTTGAAGAGGTAGACAGCTTTGGAGAAGCTTATTTTGTTATTGGTATCTGTACTTATCCTTAATGAGGGAAAATGATATTTTTTCTGGCAATAAAATAAGTTTTATAAATAATTGCAGGTCGGAAGTTACGAAAATAACGTTCTTACATTGGACAAAACGAAAGTCCGAATGTATGATGGTTCTGGTGTATCAAGGGTTATTACTTCCTCTTGTCCAGCCGAAGGATGCAGTTACTGCGTTGTAGAACCCAACCCTTTTGATTTCTACTACAACCCTGGAGATATCAATATAGGCGTGGCTCTGTCTGCACACCTTTCAGGATCAGAAAGATTTACGTGTGGAGATGACAACCCTTATGGTATGGCACAAGCGCTTGCGATACAATATGCTGTGGAGAATCTAAGTATCGACTTACCAGGGATCCTCTCTGGGGTTAAGTTAGGAACAGTCATGCTGGATGCCTGCAATAATCCTGATGCAGCTTCACTCTTCTTTAATAATTTACTCGGAAGTCGCAAAACGCTGAAAGATAAGCATGGACGTTATGTTGATCCTAATTCTATAAAGGCTCTCATTGAGGGATTCAATAATAACGGGGCAATGTCATTCTTAAAAAGTACTCAGATGTATGGACTGCCACAGATTGGAACAGTTGCATCTAGCTCATTACTGGGGGATAAAGTAATGTATCCACTCTTCAGTCGAACCGTTGAAAGTAACTATATCCAGTCTGTGGCTATGGCAAATTTCTTTGCAAAGAAGGGATGGTATTACTTTCAGACAGTTTATAGCCCTTCTATGCGTGAGGATGTTGAAGTATTAAAGAGAATGACAGCTGACTTCCAAATATGCATGGCTGCTGAATACGAGATGGGGAAAGACGGCACCGCAGCTCAGATTTTGGATAAGGTCAGATCAAATACAAATGCAAGAGTCATAGTTATGTTTTTGGAGAAGGAAAGCATCAGAGAGATGCTTCTGACCATTAGGGATGCTTCATGGAGTCAGCAGTTTGTCATTGTTGGGGGTGAGACTTGGGGCAGCGATAACTTGAATGTACTGGGTTTGGAGAACGTTGCTAATGGAGTAGTATCGTTCCAGCCCCAAATAGCCCAGACATCAAACTTCCAGAACTGGATAAATCAAAAGCAGCCTAGAACAGCAATGGACATGCCTTGGTTCAAGGAACTGTACGAAAACGCATTCCAGTGTTATTTGGATGCTTCCTCTAAAGGAATGTTCACAAATGAATGTCCCAGGCAAAGCTCCGGATTGTCCAACTCTGCCCTATACGAATTCTGGTATCAGATGACGACATCAATTAATGCAATTTACGTCACTGCCAAAGCTCTCGACGAAACTCTCAGGTATTACTGTGGGCAGGGGTATTCAGGGGTATGTGTTGAGTATCGTGCGGCAAAGGACTCCGATGCAGTTCTACTCAAAAATATAAGAAACGCATCATTTAGTATCAGTTCGTCATATCAGTTTGATATGCACAACGGAGAGCCCCTTTCAGGCATTGAAATAATGAACTACAGACAAGGACAAAAATATATTTCCGTAAGTACTAATTATTATTACACCATAGATATGCTTACCAGTATATGAATTAATGAGTATAATGTTTAAATCATTACTTTTT